GTAATTCAGATTTGTTGTCTGCTGCATTGATAAATTATCTACAGAAGGTATAAATACGGTTTACTGTTTTGTTTCTATGTTGTTCATGATAAATTATCTACTGTAAAACATTTAATACAGAACGTTGTGTTTTTCTTTTTAGAATACGATACATCGTAATATTCTTCCATTTTATGTATTTTTTATCTACAAATTAAGAAATCTAAGATTAGATTTTGGACCATACTAAATCCAGCTTATGTTGTTTGTTACTAAGTGTAACCTTTTATAGCTTGACTTTAAGATGGATCATCGACGGCCTTGTGTGTGGGGAACACCACTAAGTATAACCTTTTATAGCTTGACTAGTCGATGATCCATCTTGGCCTTGTCTGTGGGGAACACCACTAAGTATAACCTTTTATAGCTTGACTTGTCGATGATCCATCTTGGCCTTGTGTGTGGGGAACACCTTTGCTTCATATGTAATCTGTTCGAAAGTATCTTTAACAGCGAGGGTTTCCAACTGACGAAACAATACATTGTATTCTGTATAAATAGAAACGTATATTTAGTTAGCTGTGCTGATGGCCAGTTACGTTGTGAAAACATGGCTGACGAAGAAGGATCTTTGGAAACTTGGGAGAGAGAGGAGGTTAATATAAGTCCAACCAAATTAGATTCGTCAGGTAGGGCCTAGAAAAAAAACAAAAACTTCTGTTACACATAGTGTTCCCCAGCCTCGCCTCAGGTCCTCCAGGGCATGACAATCTGGCCACCTGCTGACGCCCGTTGACATTTTCAGTTTTTTAACCTGTCGACCTGCGCCGATGGCGAACTCGGTTCACCTCCAGACAAGCTGAAAGAAAATATGATCGACAAGTGAACGTGGTCGATATACAAGAGTCAGTCTTCAGATCTGGCTCACCACCACGTGACGAAAAGAGGGCCAACGGACACGCTAAACTCGTGACAAGTTTAAAACACAATACGAAAAAGTTACGTGATCCAGTCTGTTGGGGGAAAGTGTTACATGGTCCAGTCTGTTGAGGGAGGAAAGTAGTTTCCAGAAACTAAGCTGTACCCGTAGAAGACCAAAGACCTTTGTGTAAATGTATGACCTTTATTCTTGTTACTACAGTCTAGACCAAGGACCTTTGTGCAATGTATGACATTTATTCTTGTTACTACAGTCTTGGCGTGTTTCAGGTTAGTGGATACACTTACACAGTTTCAGCTGGAATACCAAGTGATTCAACCACCACCTCAATCAGGCTGGAATTGTCTAAGCCAATAGTTAGGACAGTCGGTTGACCAAGAAATTAACAACTAAAGGGCGTTGCGGCCCTTACACCCCGAGCTACCAGGTAGGTCGGGGTGTATGCGCACACGTGTATTTATACATACATTTAAATTCACTAGGTTTTGAAAGTTTGGACAACTGATATTAGTAGATGTTATGCCTTTAAACCGACAGTTTCACGAACTAGAGATGATTTCTAGGAATTCAATAACATCTAAAAGCCGAACGTGAGTTGTGAACTTTACATTTTGAGTTTTATTTTAATAAAGTGAATTCGTAATGTTCACCTAATTTTTTTCTTTAATTTCTATTCGTACAACTTTTATGTAGGTTTAAAAGTAGGAGATTAGGCAAAGTGTGTGTCTAAGCTTCTTTTGCCCTAATTAGTGATTGTTCTGTGTGATTCCCTTAGGGTATCGGGTGTGCTTTCTTGTATGAAAGATGTTGCTGTAAATTAGAATACACTAAGTGAAGGTGGCCACTGATATTTTCCACTGGCAGGTCAAATGATACCTTGAGGTATATAATTCGTATATTTCTCTTAGAACGACCGACAGTGACGTGTGTAGCGCATGTGGTCTGAGCAGGATAGCATTGTAGAACTGTGTATATACTCGTATAACGTTGTGTTTTCTCTGACAGAGATAAAAATGTTGTCTTTTATCCTGCACACTAACCCATTTTCTTTTTTTGTTTGAATATTACTTTTCGCTTTGTTCACATTGTTTGTGGTCTTTTTTTTTTTAAATGTTAGATAATTCAGTTTAATTCTGCGATCCAATTTCTGCTCTAACCTCTTGTTGTGAGCGAATTCTACTGATTCCCTTGATTTCTTGAATTCGGTTGGTTTGTCACTGAGTTGTTTTCACTTTTGTCCATACTGCACTGATAAAAATATATCGGATAGTTTAAATACAGAATGTTTAATCTTCATTGCTTTGTTGTCTATACCATAATGATAAAATTACTAGTAAAATATCCGAAGAGAGGTTAAATAAGGAATGGTTAAGGGCAAGTCAGACTTAACTGAGAAGCTACAGGCTTGAACATAAAGATAGCTAGTGGTCAAGAACCATTGATTTTTACACTGAAGTTGGGTTTGAAAAACGAAGGCCAAGTTAACTCGGCCCCTAATAGTTCAGAACTTAAGTAACAGTGTAAGGTTAAATGTCACACCTACTCAGGCTATGACCCAACATTTTCTATAAAAATCAGTTACGTTAGTTGTATTGAAACTGGCGTCTGTCTCAGTTTGTTCTAAGCACCTGTGGGGTACTGCGCAAACTCCCCTGACTATGTTACAAAGAGTCTGTGTTTGTGCTTTAAAACAATATTCATTCCACATTCCATTTTAGCTCTCTCTACTTTTTTTTTATAACTTATTTATTGGGGATTGGAAAATCCAAAGTTTAAGCCGCGATATTACACAGATCATACACACTTCATTTTTAGCTGTGGGGTATTATAATTGCGACAGCCAATCTTGCAGTTTCGCTAAACGTACAGAGTATCAGATTACGATGATTCTTGTTTTGGAAAATATAGGTCAAATGCAATATAGCCGCCGACATGACTAATTTGAGCCAAAAATTCGGTTTTTCTCACCATTCAATTGATCAGCTAATGTTTTCAGTGCTAACATTTATCCTTGTTGAATGAAATGTCTAGATTTTCAGGTACAACATTATATTATTTTTACTAAGGTACCAAGAAGAAATCATTTTCTGTGGATAAAGAAATAAAAGAGTGGGTTATAATCGTAATTGTTCGCAGTTTCTTACGCTTGTGATATGTTTGGTCTTTAAAGAAAAAACAGGGTGTTAGTTATATTTAAATAATGAAATTTCACTTTCTAAAGTGCTGAATTGTACCTGATTTTAATCATTCTTTAATATTTGTGGTCAGTGTTGTTGTTGAACGTGCAATATTACAAATAAATAATTACATACAAATATACTAATGATAAGTCGTATGGATCTTGGAAACAAACAGTTGATGTGTTGTGTTTTATAAGTAATGACTTGCTCCATTTTTCTTTAACATTAGCTTCATTCAGAAAATTGATTATAATGTTTTGAATACTTTCGAATATTATTGTTAATTTTTACACATAATTAAGTGATTTTGCATTGTTATCTATATGAACTGGCTGATCCTTGTGAGATATTATTGGAATTATGGCCGAAAATGTCGTTAGTAGTAGTGGAACTCGACGAATAATTAATTCAGTGCGTTCTAATCACAAATTTATAAGGTACTTTTTCATTCTGAACCATGTGGATAACTTACGTTTAATCAGAAAATATTAATAACGTACACATTTGCTGCTTATGTGAGCACTGGATTTTATTTTTGTAAACAGGTTATTTGTAGTTGTAAATATGAACCTATGAAAGACTCCATCCTTATTGTGAACTTAGTCTGTGTTGACATAATATTAAAAATGGAATGATAATATCCCATCACAATTAATTTGGTATTTTTGGTCTGAATTATTGACATGAATTATGTAAGCATATTTGTGAGTTGGACATTTTCTTTTCATGACCTTTATCAAGTGGACACTGACTTATTGTTTGTTTGCTCCCATTTATTTTAATTGATGCACGTTCAAAGATATGGGTGGGAGAGTCCAGACCCCTCTGTAAAACTCCCCAGAGGAGGGATAAGGTAAATGCTAGGTTTGGTGACAGTCAGTCCAGCGGTTCCCCAGTTATAAGTGGAGACGCACACTTTTGTCAAATAATGGCTTAGATAAGTTGTTTGAAAAGTGGCGTAGTTTTTTGTTTATTTTTTTCTGACTTGTGTGGCCCTTCCAGAAGAAGTTAAGATGGTAACGATAATGAAGTTAACCTCAGTTTTGTTTTAAACCTCTATGGCCCTTCAGAAGAAGTTAGGATTGTAACGATAGTGAAGTTAACCTCTAGTTTTGTTTTAAACCTCTATGGCCCTTCCAGAAGAAGTTAGGATTGTAACGATAGTGAAGTTAACCTCTAGTTTTGTTTTAAACCTCTATGGCCCTTCAAGAAGAAGTTAGGATGGTAACGATAGTGAAGTTAACCTCAAGTTTTGTTTTAAACCTCCAGTAATACCCGTGCTAGCGTTTATTATAACCGTTATTGGTGTTCATTAGATACATCTTGGTAACTTTGATTTCGTTTTGAAAGCTAAGAGCAACTTTTTTTGTGGACGTGTTTTGTTTTTATAATAGTAATCATAGTGTATGTATGTATGTATGTATTATTGAATCTACAGCAAAACTGCTTGAAAGACATGGACGTCGCTTTAATTCGAAACCTGTCCGACCGGAACGGGAACAACTTGTGGCACGTGTGTTGCAACCAAAACCACCTCCACTGCCTTCAGTGGCTTTGTAATCACGACGATAATGAGGCTCTGAAAGATGAGAACAAGAATGGGTTCACACCCATTATTTTGGCCATTAGGGTAAGTTATGTATTTTCGTGACCTCAAGTGGTCAGTAGCTTATACCAGAAAAAAAATAAAATAAAACACTGAGTCGGTTAACTAAAAACAAATATTATTTGTTTGTCTTTTCCAGAATTTTCGCTCAAAGCTATAAGAGAGTTATCAGCGCATAACAACCCTTAATTTTGAACTGATAAATTAGGGGGGAAAGCAGCTAGTCAATAGCACCCACCGCCAACTCTTGTCTGCCCGAATAGTGGAATTTGACTGTCACTCTTTAAACGCGCTCACGACTCAAAAAGTGCGAAGTGAGTATTTTGCGGCGACGGGACTCGAATGTAGAATTCGACACTACCAGGAGATGGTGATATTCTATTTGAAACACTCAGATTTTTTTCCTACGGAGGAGCAGATTTTAAATGGCAACCTTCCATTTTTGTTTTGTTTTTTTGGCTATAAAATAACAGTTATAAAATCTGATATCAAACACAAGCTTCACATCGTTTTCGTGAAGACATTATTAAAGTATATTGGGTGTACATACGAATGAACAGACGTACAGAAACCGAGTTTTACACCAGCTACATATTTTTGGATATTCGCATGTTAGTATAATGGCCTTTAACCTCTTTTTATCAGCGAATAAAAAGTTACATTTTTACAGCACGAGCTTGGAGCGTCCTAATAATGGCACCTCGGAACGAGTTTTGTTTTTCACCATGTTGTTATTGGACAAACCAGATTCTCCGTGTCATATTAATTGTTGTTTGGTTAAACCAATAGTGAGATACCTACAGAACTTTTCCCTATTGGCTTGTAATATTTTCAGAACTCTAAATATCTGTAAAGTTTCCCGTGTAAAGTAAACTACAAATTTTGTTGTTGTACAGCGCTAACATAACGGGATAATGATTATAACTTGAAATTCGCCATTCAAAATATCCAAAAAAATGAAAACGGTGAGACTTGTAAATTTATAAATGATTGTTAGATTTTTATTTAATTTGATACGATTTAACAATATTATCAATTTTTAGATTGGAATACCCAAATTTTCTGCGACAAGGAATCGGCTGGTTTATCCATTTAAGATGTGTTGAAAGAGCCCCCCAGTAGTGGCACAGCGGTATGTCTGCGGACTTACAACGTTAGAATCCGGGTTTCGATACCCGTGGTGGGTAGCTTTGTGCTTAACTTCAAACAAAATTATTGCCCCCCCCCCAGTGGCAC